TAAAGTTAATAAAGTAGGTTTATAATCGGTGTAAATATATTCCACAGACTTTGGAAAACATAGTCATGCGACTTCTTTATAAAGATGAGTGTAGATATGTTAGAGAGATTTTTCAAACTTACATAAGACATATGAAATTTACTAAATTTTGATAAAAATTACATTTTCAATATTAAAACTTATCATCCAGAATAAGACCAATTATTTCTTGTATTCAAGGATTCTGTCTCTTACAAAATTTAACATATTTATATTTTTTCATATAGACTATAAAATATATTTCTAAGCTTGCTTCTTTTTAAAATATAATTAATTTACTTTCATTTGTTATTATTACTATTTTAAAATTTGCTATAGGGCACATACACTTAACAGAGAGACAGAAAGAGAGAGGGAAAGTAAGGAAGCAAATGGCCAGATTCAGGATTCAAACCACATCTGGCCATGTGGGAGTGTAGCAACTCAATCACCTCGCCATCTGCTGGTCCCCTAAGCTTACTTCTTGATATTTCATATTTTCTGTTTCCTATTATGAAATAGATGCTTACTTTATCATGATTTCTAAATTTCCTATTAAAACATATACAATTGCTTTTTTGTACATGCATTTTGGAATAGTCAAATTACTAAACAAATTGTAGTGACTTGATGAGTTTCATTGATTTTTTTTTTAGGTTACTTATAGGTAAATAAATGTCTTATTTCGGCTTTTTTCTCTCTCATTCTTTTTCCTTGTTTTTTTTTAGAGGCTAAAATTAGTGATAGATTTCTTTCTTATTCTTTCTTCAACAATAATGCCTTTATTCTTTAACCAGTAAGCATAACATTAGCCAGAGGTTTTGTTTTTTTAAATCATCCTCTTTTTCAACGCAGGTGAGTATTACGAATTATAGAAATACAAGGAGTAAAACAAAGATCATTGATAAATTCAGTAACATCTCAATAAATTTTTTTGAGAAGTTTTTGCTATAGGGCACATGTGCTCGCCAGAAAGACAGAGAGAGACAGAGAGACAGAAAGTGAAAAATCACCCACCCCCAGCGGGAATGGCCATGCTGCAATCCCTTCTCCTCTGTTCTCCTCTTGGGATCTTGAGCATGCACACACACGCGTCCAGTGTGAGTTTAGGCCACCGGGTCTGGGACTTGAACCACAGTCGACTATATGAGAGTCCAGCAACATAGCCATTACACCAACTGCTGGTCCCTCACTAAAAATATTAATGAAAATATAAATGTCCTGGAATTTATTCAGGAAGGAGAGTTTTAAAAAATAGTCCAAACTTTATAAAAATAAAAAAGAAAAACAGTGAGAAGAAATTTGTCCTGTCTGGTAATAAATATACTTACAAAATATAATAAAAAATATAGTTACAAAATTAAAATAGTGTGTTCATTCAACTACTCAATATTTATTGACCGTAGGGTTGCTAGATATAACAAATAAAAAATACAGAACATCAGTTAAATTTGTATTTAAAATAAACAATAAATAGCTTTTGATTGTAAATATGTCCCATGCAATATTTGGGTACAGTACTACTTTTTTTTTTTTCCTGCAATAGATAAGAAGTCAGGAAGGAGCACCCAGATTATCCCTGCTCAGAGCAGGGCGTGGCAGGCACTGGGAAGGGACAGCAGACACCAAATAGCATTCCAACACTGTTGACTGCTGCTCTCTAAGTAAACATTATTTCCTAATGAAAAAGAAAGTAGTGGGGACCAGCAGTTAGTGTAATGGCTATGTCGCTGGACTCCCATGTAGTCAACTGCTGTTTGCATCCCTGACCCGGTGGCTTAAAACTCACGCCGGGCACGTGTGCATGCGTGCCCAAGATCCTGAGAGGAGAATGGAGGAGAAGGGATTGCGGCGTGGCCATCTCCCCTGGGGGATGATTTCTCGCTTTCTGTCTCTCTGTCTCTGTCTGTCTGGTGAGCGCACACGTCCTATGGCAAAAACCTCTCAAAAAAAAAAAAAGGAAAAAGAAAAGAAAAAAAAGAGAAAGTAGTCAACTTGAACGAGGGAGACACTAATGGTCTATGCAGGATGGCCAAACACTAAGAGCACGTGACCAAGCGACAGGCTGAAATGGACGTCAAAGTCAGGTTTGAGGAGTGCCATGGTTGCCTGGTAGTGACCTTGCTGATCATCCAGGAAAACTTAAGGGACACACATGGCCCCCCAACAGGGGGGCAGGAAGTGAAAACCCACAATGACAATAACACACACATGGCAGCCCCAATGTCCTGGAGGCCCAAAGTGCATGCAGAGCTGCGAAGCAGGAGTGTGGGAAAGCTCTCAGAACTGAAAGGCAAATACATGGACCCTCCAAACATTGGGCAACCCTTTCCCATTTCCTCTGTCTGCACTACCAATGACCAGGACACGAGCAGTCCGTGATCACTTACCAATGCAGGGGGTACAGTATTACTGATGATATAGCACCAACCCAAGGAATGCTGGCAGTCATTGAGATCTGGAAGTCAGGAAATAGAGTCTCTGGAGGTAAGGTGGGCCTGCTCACACCTTGATTTCAGCCAGATGATTCTTACTTCAGACTTTTGGCCTCCACAACTGTAAAAGAATAAATTTCTATTGTACTAGCCATTTAGTTTGTGCTAATTTGTTACAGTGGTCAAATATACCCCTCAGAAGAGGAATGGTTATACAAATTATGTTCTGTTTGTATATGAATCTTAATAATATTTTTTAAAAATTGAGGGTCAATATATTTTATGGAAAACATTTCAGATTTGCAATTGGATAATATTTAGGGTATAATCTCATTTATATACAAAAGAAAAAAGTAAACCTCTATATATGTACATGTAAGTATGTAGGGAAGTACTTGTCTGAATGTTAATTTTAAATGTTAAGTGCAGTACTTACCTGAAGGAAGGATGTAGGCTACAGCAAGAAGGAAGGAGAATTTTCACAGTATTGTATTGTTTACATATTTTGCAACATGCATATATTCGTATATTATTTATACCAGTTTTTAAAGGGAAAAAGCATGGTAGGAATTTTCCCCAAACTCCATTTTTACAGTTTCCAAATGGCCAGTCTCTCTGCACACTTACTCAGTGTTTGTCAACTTCATCAGACTTCAAGTTCCTTGAGAGTAAGAGCCTCATTCGGCTTATCTGTTTTTGTTTCAGCATCTAATGCCTTACCATCACATATTATGTTCTCAGAACATATGTGTGGAACGAATGATGGACTAAAACATCGATCAGCAGGAGCCAAAGGTGAGCTTATGGATGAACTGACAGCAAAGGTAGATTGAAAAGGTAGTAGAAATGACCCACATATCTTTTTTTCTTTAGTCTTTTACCACCAAAACCACGACAACAGCAACTTAACCAAGAAGATTACACCCAAATGCCTCACCTATGTTTTTGTCACTTAACTTCCTGTAATAAGCTCTAAATATTTCAAGGGGATTCCCTTTGACACTGCTCTGATTAGAATGAAGAGGACAGCCTTGTCTTTCAGAAGTAATATGGTGAATCAGTGCTTCTAGATACCAGGCAAACTCAGAATGACATTCGTAGAAACAAGCATGGCTCGTTTCTTATGGAAGTTTCCAGGACAGATGCCGATGTCTCTGCCATTCATTCACCATTAAGGGAAAGGACTTGCTTGATTGAGGAAAGGTAGGGAATTGAGCCAGTTGACTGCATTGGTTGGTTAATGTCCCACAGTGACTATGGCTGGCATGGACAAGGTCTGTAGGGGATTAATGCAGAACGCTCTAGAGCATAATGAGTTTAAGGAAAAATTAGCCTGAAAAAATAAATCACTTAGCTTCAAATGTCTAGTGCTATTTATAGAAGTTGCAGGTTAAATTTCACTTCACTGACTTTGTCCTTTACATTGACAAGCTAGATAAGATGATCTCGTCTTAAATAATCTTTTGTGTTTAGGTATTTCTCCAGCAGTTTTGTGTTACAATTTAAAAATAGACTAGCCTGTGACTATACTCATGTTGGCTATAGTATTTTGAACTTGATTTCTGAGACTGCTGACAGCTTTTGAAAGATTAACAACTAGCAGCAAGAAAAGCTCCCACAGAATCTATTCTATGGATGTTTTTCCCCAGAAAAGAAAAAAAGACATCATTTAGCAGATAATATATTGCAATAAAAATATGGTTATGCAATAATGGTTCATTAATACAATAAATCATAACATAACCTTTTCTATTAAATGTAAAAAGCAATTTATTGAAATGAAGACATTTTCTTCCCTATGGCATATTTCTATAGCTGTTGGTTTGAAAGGAATTTTTTATTATTATTCAAAACAGTCATTTTGATTTGCACAGGAGATAACAGTTGTTCATGACATTTTTATTTCTGCATAAACAAATTTCCATTTTGGTGAAGGTTAATACAGTAGGAATTTGTTTTTACTTTGGGATATACCGTGGTATCGCCGAAGCACTCTGGTATGGAACCCCTAATTTATCCTTTATGCCTCTATGATCTTGTCAGTGCTACATGTCTCCCTTAGTTTTTCTAATCTAAAATAATCCCAGCGAAATCCTTTGATTGTCTGTTTGGACCTGCTCCATTCCTAAAGCAGG